TTTAGAAGAAATACCGACATAGCTAGATAATACAATTAATTATCTAATTACTACCATTTGATAATAATAAGTATTGTAATTTTCATTGTTATTAATAAATGTAATGTCAGTATTACAAATCTAATCTTTAATCAATCCTAATCCTATCTTATTTTTTGGGAAATATTTTTACAAATTTAAATGTGACGTCACTTTGTGTGTTTTATAGAATTTCAAATGTGACGTCACTTTGTGCGTTGAGGCTTTGGCTAACTCGACTGTATATTTTTTATGTGTTGGATTAAGTTGTTTTATGTAATGTTTCCGTTTTTATTCTGTAGTTAGTCCCCACTTTGGTTTTATCATGAATATCTATTATATAGTCATTTTATAAAATTTACTGTTTGCAAATTATTCTAAATAATAAGGATGTTCTTGTCCCAGGCAGAAAACCCTGGCCGTGTTAGGCGCAACTTTTTGGAAGTTTTGGTCCTCGGTGCTCTTCAGCTTTGTACTTGTTTTGGCTTTCAAACTTTTTTCATCTGAGCGTCACTGGTTGGTCTTTTGTGGACGAGACGCACGTCTGGCGTATTGAATTTTAAGCCTAGTACCTTTTGTTAGCTATTATCGGTGTGTTTCTTTGTCCTATATGTTCTCCCATTTATTTGTATTGTGGTCCTGTCTTGTGATGTTGTCGTTTTGGTGTTGTGTTTGACGTTGCCATAAAAGCGGGAGGTTTGGTATGCCACAAAACCAGGTTCAATCCACCATTTTTTCTCTTAAAATGTCCTGTACCAAGTCAGGAAAATGGCCATTGTTATATTATAGTTCGTTTCTGTGTGTGTTACATTTTAATGTTGTGTTTTTGTTGTGTCGTCGTTCTCCTCTTATATTTGATGCGTTTCCCTCAGTTTTAGTTTGTAACCTGGATTTGTTTTTATCTCTATCGATTTATGAGTTTTCGAACAGCGGTATACTACTGTTGCCTTTATTCATAAGTCGAAAATAAACTTACAACGCCATGGCTAAAAAAGAAAAAGGCAAACAGACATACAATAGTACACAAAACACAACAAAGAAACTAAAGACTGAGCAACATGAACCTCACTAAACTGTGGGTGATATCAGGTGCTCCGGAAGGGTAAGCAGATCCTGCTCCACATCAGGCACCAGTCGTGTTGCTCATGTTAGCAAGTCTTATTCGGTAGGTCACGTTCATGAAAAGGGGACGGGATTGTAGTTACGACATTTGGAACATATCCGCTATCATCTGTGAAATAGATATTCCATAATGGTCAACTAACTCGTGATGTAGTAAAATTAACGAAGGGATGATTTCAACTTTACCACCTATAACACTTGGTTTAATAGCTTCCTTGGAAATCATGATATGAAATACAAGCCCTAGAATATCGTATTAACTGAGTGATATATACTCCGCATGCAGGCGCTGCTGGAATGTTGCCACATAGAAATGGAAAGTTCACAATTGGGAAGCTGAAATTATCTCTTTTGTTGTAAAGTTTTGGGGTTGAAAACATAACTTTACGACAAAAGAGATGATTGTGAACTTTCCATCAGCGCCTGCATCATTTAGATAATAAATATCTTAAAGATAAAACAAGTTGTCAATTTCTAGATGTAAGTCAAGATATGAGGCAGACTTTACTGTATCTGTTGTATCTTTTATCTCAAGTTCGATGGGATAGATGCGTTCAACATAGTCACCAAATTTTGAATTATTTAGTGAGAGAACATCATCTACATGGCGGAAAGTAAAGTTAAAGGATACTGCTAGTTGTTTTTGTGACTAATTAGCTGTCTCGGGTTCACGTTTATGCTTTTCTTTTTTTAAAGAAGGAAACTTGTTTTATCTTTAAGATATTTATTATCTAAATAAACGATAAATTTATTTTATATCTTAGAATCCACAGAATACAAAAGAGTATGTTACTACACTAATTGGTCACAGTACAGACTTGGTATTGGGAAGTTCCTGCCCAGCGATATAGATCCTTACTTGTGTACACATATTATTTATGCATTTGGTAAACTCAATGGCAACATGGTACAGAGACTAGAGTACAATGACTATGAACTGTAAGATTTAGTCAACATTTTATAATTACTTAAGATGAGTTTTCTTGATCTGTGTTTTGGAAAACAGTAGATAATACTTTTGTGGTTGATATCAAATAAAGATTATTTTTCTATAAAAGATAGAAGACAGAAGTAAAGTACAGAAACTGTAATCGAAATTAAGGTTATTATTTTGTCTGGTTCATAGATAAATTTGAAATTGAAACAGTCTGGCAAACTTATTGATTAACTCATAAGGTCTTTGCACCGGAAATAAACACATTTATTCTAAAACCAGTTGTTGGCATGATACGGGTTATGTTCTTCTCATATAATTCATGATGGTATGATACTAAACCCCTAATGGGAGGGATTGTGCTTGATTTTCATATAATGAAGACATAATCCTTCAATCAGTGTAATTGAGGTCTGGAGCTGGCATGTCAGTAACTGCTAGTAGTCCTTTGTTAATTTATGTATCATTGTCATTTTGCTTAGTTTCTTCTGTTACCTATTCTGACATCGGACTCGGACTTCTTTTTACTCGGAGTTTTACTGTGCGTATTGCTGTGTGTTTGTTTCGTGATGATTTTGTATCTTAGGTTAGTTCGTTTACCTTAGTTACAGTTCTTCAGAAGCCTTATTTCATGTTTTTGTATATACTTTAATAAACATAGAAAATAATAAGATGTTTCGCGGATAAACCTTGTGTCAGGTCAGATATGAAGGGGTGTTCCAAAGGCAACTCTAATACGAGTAACAAGGCACTTTGGTAGAACACCCCTCTCCAAGAATGGCAGAACTAACATTGGGGTATAAAGGCACGAGCGATTCCTTGCTCAAGGTCGATTGTCATAAGTCTACGGAGACATAAGACCAAGGTACGGTACGTTGATATTCGAGCTTGTGTTCTCTAATATGTTAGATACTATTACAGAAAGTGTAATAAAGAACAGGTTGGTGCCTGTTATAAATACGGACTTGTACAAGTTGGAGTTTACAAGCTGAACCGTGTTGTTGTACCTTATTGGACAAGTGTGATAACTTGTAACGTACATAATTGTACCAAAACGTATTGAACAAGTGTGTTAACTTGTAGGGTACATTATTGTACCAGGAGGACAAGTTTGATCTTAACCCAGGGCAAATTTGTAATAGTACAAAATTGTACCAGTTGTATATATTTTAAGTAGAATAGTTATAGATAGTTTAATAGAGATAGCAAAGAGCAGTTGTATATATTTTAGTTTATTGATGTCAATTTATGAAGATAGTTTACTTGTTGTATATTTTGTAAATAGAACATTTTGGATCCAGTATTAAACTGGTAACGAACCTATTCTAAAATAGAAATAGACACGCCTACCCTGTGTACACGTTACAGTTTATTCTATATTGCCTAGAGGTAAAGGGGGAGGGTTGAGATCTCACAAAACATGTTTTACTGCGCCGCAATTTTGCGCCTGTCCCAAGTCAGGAGCCTCTGAGCCTTTGTTAGTCTTGTATGTTATTTTTATTTTAGTTCATTTATATGTTTCGGAGTTTAATGTGACGTCCATTTTCACATAATTTGTACACTTTTTTGTTTAGGGGCCAGCTGAAGCCATCCTCCGAGTGCGGGATTTTCTCGATGTGTTGGTGGCCTTGGGCTGTTTTATGGACTTTGGTCAGGTTGTTGTCTCTTTGACGCATTCCCCCATTTCCATCCCAGATTTTATTGGTTTCTATGATATGTTTATATTCTACTGACACGCGAGACGATTTTAACTATGAAATTATAAATTTCCCCTACCTCAGGAGTAATATATCAACTTCCCCTGCATATGGGATATACATTTCCCAACTCATTCGGTATACAAGAGCTGGCAGCTGATATTCATACTTTATAAAACGTCATCAGTGTTTGAGCATAAAGTTGATAAGCCAAGATTATGTCAAAGAACGTCTTGTTCTTTTTCTAAAAAAAAAGGTTCATTCAGAGATACCAAGACTTGTTGATAAATATTCAGTTTCAACTCCACAAATAAAACAAGATGGTCTTAAATATAGATTTTAGATAAATATTCAGTTTCAACTCCACAAATAAAACAAGATGGTCTTAAATATAGATTTTAGATAATGACGTTGATTATCATCTTAATTACGTGTTATAGTGTTTTCTTTTTATTTGTCCTGTACACTATTTTTAACCTTTACTGTTTAGTCCATTTTTTCATGATAAACCTTTGGCTTGTACTTATACATCCTGCCATTGTGTTATTGTGCTATGGTCAATTTTGTATTCTTGTCTTTTACTTTTCCTTATTTACTTTGTCTATAGAGTGTCTATATTCCATTTTGTTTTTTCTTTGTTGAAATAGTTATTTGTTTTCATAGTGATTAAGATTATACTACAATGTTGACTGCTGTACCCCATTTTTTGACATTATTACCTGTTATGTCTGTTTGTTTTGCTCAATCATTGTTATCAATATAATGGAATTCTTTGCGACTGTCATACACATGAGAGGTTTAGCTAGCTATAAAACTAGGTTCAATCTACCATTTTCTTCATAAGGAAATGCCTGTAACAGGTCAGGAATATGAAAGTTGTTTTCCATTCGTTTGATGTGTTTGTGCTTTTGATTTTGCCATTTTATAAAGGACTTTCCGTTTTGAATTTCCCTTGGAGTTTGGTATTTTTGATATTTTTTTTTTTATAACTTTATTTTGTTTAATATAAGATTCACATGTGTGCCTCAAAGAAATCATGAATAAAGAGCACTAAGTAGCCGTGAAATCGTGTACCAAACATTTCAATATGAAAGAGGAAGAAAGAATTTGTATTTTGAAATGTTTTTTGTTTATATATTTATGACAGATATTCTCATCTAAATGATTTGAAACTACAAAATCCCTCATTAAAAACATTACTAGCGCTAGGTGGTTGGAACAGTGGTAGCGTAGTATATTCTCAGATGGTCAGCAACAAAGATTCAAGGGCAGAATTTATTAGTTCAGCTATACAGTACCTGAGGAAATATAAGTTCGATGGATTAGATATAGACTGGGAATATCCATCAAACAGGGGTGGTAAACCTGAAGACAAAGTCAACTTTGGATTATTGGTTAAGGTATAACCATTTTCATGTAAGTTATAGAATGTATGTAGTTTCAATATAAAAATGTCCTTGATATACTGTCAGCAACTTTCTTTGTGTATTTGTGCACTAAGTCTTACTTCTTTTGTTATATTGAGTCTCATTAACGCTTCCTTACTTCTTTAATTCATATTGGTTCTCCAATATTTTTTAAAGATTATATATGTTAAAAGTTCTTACTTGGCAGGATCTTAAAGAAGCTTTCGACGAAGAGTCCGAGACCTCTGGATTAGTATTTCTTCTTTTGACTGCTGCAGTAGCTGCTGGAAAACACACCATCGATACCGCCTATGATATCCCCATAATGTCACAGTAAGCTATTTTTGATATATTATTTGTTAGTATCGTAAATACCAAAAAAAGATCAAGTATAAACACTAGACCAAAGATACGGAGATCCAAAAAGTGTTGGCTTAATATTGTGTGGGCCTGTTCGATTTTTCCCCTCTGTATGAATGCAACAATGATACGATGCATGTTGCTTAACTGTTTTCCTTGTATTCATTATAATTTAATCATTATACTTTGTTCAAAAAATTAGTTCATATAATTTTTTAGGTTGTGGTATATCTTATTGTGTTGAGAGTTTTTTATACAACATTAATCTGTTACAGTATTCTTATAGGTACATGGATTTTATCAACATTATGTCTCATGACCTTCAAGGACCCTGGCAATCTACTACGGGACATAATAGTCCTTTATTTCCTAAGTCAAATGAATATGGTGATCAGAGATACTTAAATATTGTAAGTTAAATTATCTCCGGAAAGACTTGATTGGTTAAGGTGTCAATATATACAATCAAATCTATATTTGTATATAAATAAGCTCAGTTCTCTTACTATTTTACCTGAAATTTAACTTCACGAAAACCATGTATATCCTTAATTGTGTATGCATCACCTTTCAACATTTTCCACTTTTGTATATATATATATATGAAGTATTTCTTGAAGTGACACATGACGTTCTTGAAGTCATCTAATACTGAAAAAAAGCACTCTGATTTTGTGAAAATCTTTTAAAAGCATACTATGTAGCACATCTACCATAAACTTGTAATGCAATTCGTGCATAAGTAAATTTGGGCTCAGTATTCTCTTACTCATCCAGAAAAGTTTCATCATGTAAATTAATTTGATAGCAAACAATATCATGAAAAGCACTATGTTTTGTAAGAGCATGGCTACTATTACATGATGTTCTAAATGTGATTTGTTTAATTGTTGGTGTAAAACCTAACGTTATATTATATAAAAAAAGATCAGTATTACCCTTCTATTACCAAAGTGCAGTGTTTCCATTGTATGAATTAATGGTGGACTTCAAAGACTAAGAATACACATTTTGTCAAGTTATTATTTTTTTTTTTTTTTTTTTGTAATAATGCATTTTTGTTTTTAATAACTATACCTTCCAAAGCAAAACGTTGGTTTAAGTACTAATTTGCTTACCTATTACAGAGAGGGTTTTAAAGCTTTAACAAATAAATCAGTTTATTTTGTTTTGGTTTTCAGGATTTTGTGGCAAAGTACTGGAATTCATCAGGAGCACCGAAAGAAAAATTAATCATTGGATTAGCAACTTACGGGCGAACATTCACATTATCTGGTAGTCAGACAGGTATCGGAGCGGCGGCTAGCGAACCAGGTATAAAAGGACAATATACCAGAGAAAATGGATTCATGTCTTATTATGAGGTATTATTATGCATATTGTGTTTTCATTATCTTTATTTCTTGCAAAGAACATTCGTATAATTTGTCTAAACAAGTTTTATTGTTTCAGTTTGATCGTGAAGTTTTTTACGTGCATTTGTTTTTCTTTTGTTTTCCCTGGAAGCAGTGCCATTTTTTTAACCGCTAAAGAAACTTAAAATAAATCATTAAGTCAGTAAACGAATCTCATTTTCAACGCAGCCTTGTTTTTTCATCATTATTTACAATGACACATCTACACCAAAATTCTCCTGTGACTGTTGTCAGTCTGTATTCTATTTTTATTTTAGTTTAGAGTATACTTTCGTCTACAGTAAGTCTCATCAACAATATAATTTTCAAAATGTTACTAATATTCATGGAAAATATTATTGTAACAGATATGTGCTTTACAAGAAAGTGGAAAAGGCCAGACAGTGTACGACAGTGAACAGATGGTTCCATATTATACCGACGGTTCATTGTGGGTTAGTTTCGACGACGAAGATAGTCTTCAAGTTAAAGTAAGCATTCAGATTGATTACAAAAAACGCAAGTGTTACTCATATATTGTCATTTTCCGAGTTATTTCCGCTATTGCAATAGTCCTTCTTATCATTGAATTTGAATCCTGAACAAATCTTATATTAGATATCTTAAAAAATTCAAATGTATGCATGATACACAACTTCATAACAACAGGGACGAAGTTATATAAGTTTGGCTCAAATATCTCCACTCCTTTGTGAAGGAGAAATCGGTTGTAGAAATATTTTTATACCCCCGCTTTAAAAAGTGGGGGTATAAAAATATACCCCTGTCTGTCCGTCCGTCAGTCCATCCATCCGTCAGTCCATTCGTCAGTCCGTCAGTCTGTCCGTCCGTCTCATGAATATTTTTCGTCGCATCTTTCTCAGGAACTACAAGGATTTCTGAAATTTGGTTTCAGGGTTTATATAAGTCAGCTATACGTGATGCGTTTTCAGATTCATCATTTAACAACTTCCTGTTTATCGAAATATTTGGGCGGGGGTATCATCAGTGAGCAGTAGCTCGCAGTTTCAATTTTCTTTATTTATGTAAAATTTAAGATAAAAAATCAACTACTTTATTTATTTGATTTTAAGTTTAAAATAACTATATGGACAGGATTTTTTTTTTTTTTTGTTTTTTTGTTTTTTTTTTTTTTGTTTTTGTTTATACACAATTTTGATTTAGAAGAAAAATCGACATTGTTACAAAATACAAATTATAACACCATTACAAACACAATTCCATTTTAATATTCTTGTCATGGTTAGAAAATAAATAAATTAACACCATACAAATTCAATCCCAATTTAATAATCGTGTACATGTCTATAAATAAAACAAATCTTTTTTTATTTTTAGAAATTATCTGTTATAATATAAACTTCTCAAAAATACGTCACTTTTCTGACGTTGATCCGTTCATGTGACGCGCAGTTTATATTTCGTTTGAAGTGTCCTGGTGTGCTGTCGTAAATTCATGGGAGGGTACGTTGTTATTCTGCGGTTTCCATGTTGTAATGTACTATTATATTATTTATTTATGTATTTCTCTGTGCTGTATGTTTCGTACGTTTGTTTGCACTGTATTCCTGTCACGTAGTGTTGTCATTTTAGCGGTATTTTAAACATTGCCATATAAGCGGCTGGTTTGGCTAGCCATAAAACCAGGTTCAACCCACCATTTTTTTCTTAAAATAAAATGTCCTGTACCAATTCAGGAATATGGCAGTTGTTATCTATAGTCCGTTTCTATCTATGTATGTTGGCGTTTTTTTTTGTTTTTTTTGTTGTTCAGTGTTTCTGTTGTTCCGTTGTTTTCTTCTTATAGTTGATGTGTCTTCCTCGGTTTTAATTTGTTACCCGGATTTGTTTTTGCTTAAAAGAATTATGACTATTGAACAGCGGTATACTTGTTGCCTTTATTTATTATACACAATAAACTTCAATTTTATGAACACTAAAATATTTTGCTGAAATCTTTTCAGTGGATGCCGTAGCAAAGTCATATTGCTGATATTCTAGTAAACTAAGAAACCATTGTATTGTCTATCAATGAAAACAACTACGACAAAAATATTATCTATATACCACTATATGTTTTGTTAGTAGCCTCTGATAAGAAATATATTTACATCTGCCAAGCTCTTTATTATCCCGAGTCTAGACATTTATTGAGTGTTGACTGAAATGTAGATTATAATGTTATACGGGAAAAGATACGGTTTGAACATACATTAAACACTATACAAAGTAGTCATCCAGTGTGATAATAAATCCTTTCAGTTCTTAATAAATAGTATCTGTAGTTTTTAATCTTACATTACGAATCTACGGATGGAATGAACATACTGAGTACAATATGACGACCAATGCTGCTAGTGACTGTTGTTGGTGAATAAATATAAGTTGTAGCGTTGTGTGTATTCACATGTATAATCGATAGGAATAATAAAGAAGATGTAGCGAACTTCTGTGCAACAAGAGTAAGTATTCTAGATTCAGACATCAACATATTTTTTTTTTGCGTTTTGTTTCATGGGTGAAAGTCTGAATCTGCAGACTTCATTTTCAATATTTCTATTGTTTTTACAGATTAAATGGTTGGTATCCGAGGGATATGGTGGTACCATGGTGTGGGCTCTACCTCTTGATGATTTCAGGCAGACATGTTCTAAAAGTAATCGTACATACCCTCTTTTAAATACAATTAAGGATGAACTGATTATTGCCGAGAATGGTGACACACTTACAACTCCTTCACTCCCAACTGGAATGTCTTCTGCAGCGCCGACAACATCAGGTCCAACGACACAAGGAAGGTCTAGTTCAACGACACAGGGAGGATCTGGTTCAACAAATCGGGGAGGAACTAGTTCAGGTACATGGTATAGTGAAATAAACCAAGGGGATAACAATTAAGAGTTGCACAGAGCGCGAAATAATAACAAGGTCAAAATGAATCTTTCTATATCATTATTCTGAATAGCTAATAATTATACAATGCATATATATGTGCAGAAACTTCTATAGGAATCCTACATAATAAAAAATGACAAGTCTTCAATCCCTTTATCCTATTATTTTTGAAACAGTGCGAGCAACATTAAACCGAAAAAATTAAGCAGGTGCAGATTTTGGTAAAAATTCTTTAGAAAAAAAATTAATTGAAATATAGAAAAAAAAACTAATACTCGTAGTTTTTTAATATTTTCATCTTAAAAATGAAAACCCGTAAGAGCTTTCTATAATCACAGTTACTCGTTTACCGAATAGATATGTTTGTTTTGATAATTGTAATTTCCTAGGATGTTTCAGTAGAGTATAAAATAGTAAACTGCACATTGCTTGTAAAAATAAAAATATTACAAAGGCAACCTCGACGACAGTACAACAAAATACCAAAGAAAAATTTTCCGGTATGATCAATGTTATCAGGATTAAGATTTAAAGGTACAACATGTTAATTGTCGGGGAAACAAATTTTACTGATTGAAACAGATTGAATCTGAAAATTCACCTGAGCCTCTAAAGGATATAGTAATTTCAAGATTAGGAATTTGTTTTTTCGGACTCCTTGATTTTTTCCCTACTATACAGGGTAAAATGATTTGCCCCATATCACCCTCTTTTCATAGAAAACTTCAATAGCTCATAAAAGGTCATTATTAAAATTTAAGCAGATTCTAAATTTCTTTTCTTTCAATATGAGACCAAAATAATGCCAATGCTAAATATAAGGTAAAATTCCGAGTTCGTCTGATTCAACAACTTTGTCGTAATTTTTATCAACATCTAGTATTCAAGAATTGCATTTGACTAGTTCATTCGTTACATCTTCATCAATTTTATCAACCTCAAAATCTCTGTCTTCAAGTCAGAATCCAATGTCTCCATCTATGATGCCTGGTACTTCAACAACTCCAACAATCGATCTGTCTATAACAGGTCAATAAGATGATTTATTACATTGGTTGCAATGAATTACATTGTTTTCCCAGTGAACTAAAAACCGATAATTTCACATGTGAAATAAACGTGGTTATTTCACTCCTCTGATGTCAAACAACAATAGGCGTTTTCTAGACGTCGATGACGTCGGATCAAAACAAATTGTGAATGCGTAGACAAAGATATAGTTCCTTACATTTTCTACTTTAATTTCATAAAAAAAAAACATTTGCCAATATAATAAAAAGAATAACTAATCAAAGAATTCAAATATCGAAAAATATTAAACTCGTGACCAAACAACACTGATAATTAACTCATGCGCTACGCGCATTCGTCAATTAATGTGTTGTTCGGTCACTCGATGAATATATTTCTCTATTTGAATTCTTCGATTAGTTATTCTATAAATGTTTTTGGTATTATTACACCAGTGCTTCTAAACAAAACATAATGAAGGTAAAACACAAAAAAGGCTTAACGTTTCTCTAGTATGTTACTGTTACGGGTAATTTTCTCCTCTCTTAGGAACACAACCAAAGTTATTTCTAGTATGAACAAATGTAAAGTACATCATATCAGATTTATAATCGATAATCAAGTTTATACTCGAGAATCAACATATGATTTCAAACGTTTTAACTTCAAACAAATAAGGCTACGTTTAATTCCAGTTCATTTTCCATAAACTTATGACTATTATTTTTGTTATAAAAAAGATGTTTTCATTCAATTTATGATTTCTAATCTCTTGTACGCCAGTCACAGCATCCAGTACCAGTACTATAACAACACCGAAATCAACTAGTACAACGACATCACCTAAAACAGTACCTACGCCAGTCACAACATCCAGTACCAGTACTACAACAACACCGAAATCAACTAGTACAACAACATCACCAACAACAGTACCTACGCCAGTCACAAATTCCAGTACCAGTACTACAACAACACCGAAATCAACAAGTACAACAACATCAACTATAACAGTACCTACGACAGTCACAACATCCAGTACCAGTACTACAACAACACCGAAATCAACTAGTACAACAACATCACCTACAACAGTACCTACACCAGTCACAACATCCAGTACCAGTACTAATACAAAACACCGAAATCAACTAGTACAAAACATCACCTACAACAGTACCTACACCAATCACAACATCCAGTACCAGTACTACAACAACACCGAAATCAACTAGTACAACAACATCACCTACAACAGTACCTACGCCAGTCACAACATCCAGTACCAGTACTACAACAACACCGAAATCAACAAGTACAACAACATCAACTATAACAGTACCTACGACAGTCACAACATCCAGTACCAGTACTACAACAACACCGAAATCAACTAGTACAACAACATCACCTACAACAGTACCTACGCCAGTCACAACATCCAGTACCAGTACTACAACAACACCGAAATCAACTAGTACAACAACATCACCTATAACAGTACCTACACCAGTCACAACATCCAGTACCAGTACTACAACAACACCGAAATCAACTAGTACAACAACATCACCTACAACAGTACCTACGCCAGTCACAACATCCAGTACCAGTACTACAACAACACCGAAATCAACTAGTACAACAACATCACCTATAACAGTACCTACACCAGTCACAACATCCAGTACCAGTACTACAACAACACCGAAATCAACAAGTACAACAACATCACCTACAACAGTACCTACGCCAGTCACAACATCCAGTACCAGTACTACAACAACATCACCTATAAGAGTACATACACCAGTCACAACATCCAGTACCAGTACTACAACAACACCGAAATCAACAAGTACAACAACATCACCTACAACAGTACCTACACCAGTCACAACATCCAGTACCAGTACTACAACAACACCGAAATCAACTAGTACAACAACATCACCTACAACAGTACCTACGCCAGTCACAACATCCAGTACCAGTACTACAACAACATCACCTATAACAGTACCTACACCAGTCACAACATCCAGTACCAGTACTACAACAACACCGAAATCAACTAGTACAACAACATCACCTACAACAGTACCTACGCCAGTCACAACATCCAGTACCAGTACTACAACAGCACCGAAATCAACAAGTACAACAACATCACCTACAACAGTACCTACACCAGTCACAACATCCAGTACCAGTACTACAACAATACCGAAATCAACTAGTACAACAACATCACCTACAACAGAACCAACGACAGTCACAACATCCAGTACCAGTACTACAACAACACCGAAATCAACAAGTACAACAACATCACCTACAACAGTACCTACGACAGTCACAACATCCAGTACCAGTACTACAACAACACCGAAATCAACAAGTACAACAACATCACCTACAACAGTGCCTACGACAGTCACAACATCCAGTACCAGTACTATAACAACACCGAAATCAACTAGTACAACAACATCACCTACAACAGTACCTACGCCAGTCACAACATCCAGTACCAGTACTACAACAACACCAAAATCAACAAGTACAACGACATCACCTACAACAGTACCTACGACAGTCACAACATCCAGTATCAGTACTACAACAACACCGAAATCATAAAGTACAACAACATCACCTACAACAGTACCTACGCCAGTCACAACATCCAGTACCAGTACTACAACAACACCAAAATCAACTAGTACAACAACATCACCTACAACAGTACCTACGACAGTCACAACATCCAGTACCAGTACTACAACAACACCGAAATCAACAAGAACAACAACATCACCTACAACAGTACCTACGACAGTCACAACATCCAGTACCAGTACTACAACAACACCGAAATCAACAAGTACAACAACATCACCTACAACAGTACCTACGACAGTCACAACATCCAGTACCAGTACTATAACAACACCGGAATCAACTAGTACAACAACATCACCTACAACAGTACCTACGCCAGTCACAACATCCAGTACCAGTACTACAACAACACCGAAATCAACAAGTACAACAACATCACCTACAACAGTACCCACGCCAGTCACAACATCCAGTACCAGTACTACAACAACACCGAAATCATAAAGTACAACAACATCACCTACAACAGTACCTACGACAGTTACAACATCCAGTACCAGTACTACAACAACACCGAAATCAACAAGTACAACAACATCAACTATAACAGTACCTACGACAGTCACAACATCCAGTACCAGTACTTAACAACACCGAAATCAACTAGTACAACAACATCACCTACAACAGTACCTACACCAGTCACAACATCCAGTACCAGTACTACAACAACACCGAAATCAACTAGTACAACAACATCACCTACAACAGTACCTACGCCAGTCACAACATCCAGTACCAGTACTACAACAACATCACCTATAACAGTACCTACACCAGTCACAACATCCAGTACCAGTACTACAACAACACCGAAATCAACAAGTACAACAACATCACCTACAACAGTACCTACGCCAGTCACAACATCCAGTACCAGCACTACAACAACACCGAAATCAACAAGTACAACAACATCAACTATAACAGTACCTACGACAGTCACAACATCCAGTACCAGTACTACAACAACACCGAAATCAACTAGTACAACAACATCACCTACAACAGTACCTACGCCAGTCACAACATCCAGTACCAGTACTACAACAACACCGAAATCAACTAGTACAACAACATCACCTACAACAGTACATACGACAGTCACAACATCCAGTACCAGTACTACAACAACACCGAAATCAACAAGTACAACAACATCACCTACAACAGTACCTACGACAGTCACAACATCCAGTACCAGTACTACAACAACACCGAAATCAACTAGTACAACAACATCACCTACAACAGTACCTACGCCAGTCACAACATCCAGTACCAGTACTACAACAACACCGAAATCAACTAGTACAACAACATCATCTTTAACAGTACCTACACCAGTCACAACATCCAGTACTAGTACTACAACAACACCGAAATCAACAAGTACAACAACATCACCTACAACAGTACCTACGCCAGTCACAACATCCAGTACCAGTACTACAACAACATCGAAATCAACTAGTACAACAACATCACCTACAACAGTACCTACGCTAGTCACAATATCCAGTACCAGTACTACAACAACACCGAAATCAACAAGTACAACAACATCACCTACAACAGTACCTACATCAGTCACAACATCCAGTACCAGTACTACAACAACACCGAAATCAACTTGTTCAACAACATCACCTACAACAGTACCCACACCAGTCACAACATCCAGTACCAGTACTACAACAACACCAAAATCAACAAGTACAACAACATCAACTATAACAGTACCTACGACAGTCACAACATCCAGTACCAGTACTACAACAACACCGAAATCAACAAGTACAACAACATCATCTACAACAGTACCTACACCAGTCACAATATCCAATACCAGTACTACAACAACACCGAAATCAACTAGTACAACAACATCACCTACAACAGTACCTACACCAGTCACAACATCCAGTACCAGTACTACAAAAACACCAAAATCAACTAGTACAACGGCATCACCTAAAACAGTACCTTCAGGTATGTACAACCAAGTCTTAGGATTTTCAACATTTGAATAATATATACACTTTTAATACATCTTTGTTCAAAATTAAAAAAAATAGAAAAATGGTATCATACAATGTTTGCATAAATTTTTTTTGTTTTCAAAATGAAAAATAAGAAGATATGGTCTGATAGTCAATGAGGTAATTGCTCGCCAGAGACCAAATGACGTATATATAAGAAACCATTGATAACCGTATGACCTTCAAAAGTGAGAAAAATCCAGACCTCAATAAATATATTAAAATTTTATTTTAGTTTTCATGGATATTTTTAAGTCTATTTTACAAAAAAAAATGCATTTAACGTAAACAAAAGTTGGCACTAACTAAAAAGACACACAAAAAAAATAAAAGAAACAAAATTTCAATCAGTTCGTTCTAATATACATTTTGTCGCAGTCGGCCACATTATATTATTACACTGTTTAAACATATTGATAGTTTAATCAATATTTGATTGGTTGAGACTATCCCACGTGTCATTGAACAAATCTTCATATTCCATTCTGAGGATCATATTCCCCTCTGAAATGTCGGGATTACTTCGTGCGACGTTACGCGCGGTTAATGTACATAACGTTTTGAACGTTTTTTTAAAATAGCGATAACAAAAATCATTATCATGTTCAAATTTATTTCAGACGATAAAACAAAAAGACTTATAATTAAATTTTGATTCTTACTGTTTATCAATGGGTATGTCGTGTTTAGTTTGACTTACAAAAACAAGCGAATAAGAAAAAAAATGTATGCAAAATAATATTTAATGTATTGATAGTAAACAAAGCATAGGCAGTGGAATAAAACATTCATTTCCCTTTTATCTTTGCTCACCCTCGAAAAATCATATTTCCCTCGGGCAGAGTCCTCGTGAAATATGAATATTCTTGGCACGGGAAATAAATGTATAGTGTCAATATAACAAAGGCCATTTACTTATGGATAAAATTGATAATGACATATAGCATTTGTAGTTGATTATTATCATTTAGATTTCTGTGCTGGAAAATCTGGGAATCATCCACATCCAGGAGATTCTTCGAAATATATCTCATGTGTAGGGAATACAAAATATATACGTGACTGTCCTCAGGGATTGTGGTGGAGTCCTGGAGGAGGGTATTGTGATTGAAAACATAATGTTGTTTGTAATGCATAGTGTTGTATTAATGTGCGAAACAATATTGATTGGTTTAAAAAAAAACAAAAACACCAAGTCCTCAATTTGTCAAAATGAAATCCTCATTATAATGTTTCTGTCATTAATTTTATGAATTCACAACATTATAAGATATAGATATTTCATTGGCTGGTGTGAAGGATTTTACTTCAATTTTAACAAGTAGTTTTGTTACATATGTTAATTGTTGTTCTTTTATATAAATGTATCATGTTGGTTTATCTCTTGTGTAAAAGTGCAATAACAATTTACGGGTTGTTACAATCTAGCTTTATTTTATTTTGTCAAATTTATAGAGTAGGTCAGTTTGAGGATTTCATTTTTTAAAGTGTTTTATGTTGTAGTTTTTCTAAATTAACTGGTATCGAGCGTCCATGATGAATGTTTTCCCAGAGACATGTGTCGTTTGCTCTGCAATTGGTGCGTCTTATATTTTTACATGACAATCCAATAATTCATCATTTTATTAGTAGTACATGCGATGTTTAAATCGTTAATGTTATTATTAGTCACAGCTATACTAATTATTTGCATACTATCATAAAGCTTTTCTTGTAAGAAGTAAAGTTGAAATAAAATTTCCAAATATTGAAATAAAAATGAGCTTTGACGTCTATTTATCTTGTCATTTTAAATCTATATAGAAAGTTGATGTGTTAAATTAACATTTCATTTCATCAATGGTACATGTATTTTGCTGTGTTAAAAGAGTATTATTAAATTATAGAGATGTGGTCTGATATCAAATTAGAAAACTACACCAACAGACTCATTAAGCATGTTAAGCAGGTACCTGAAATTTTTTGATGGCTCATATCTGATTTGTTAGATTTAATTGATTAAAATGGCAAGAATACACGCATATTTTTAATTTACTGACGATCATACCGCACTATATCTTAAATTCCATTTCAAGAGAATTTGTGTTATCTTTTCTTGTCACATTGCAGGCAAGTCGTCGCTCCTTGACATATTTTTAAGTCCTTTATATCCATGCTTTCGGAGTATGATGTGAACTCGAAACGTTTTCTCCAAAATTTTTTCACAGGAAACATTACTAGAATAATAGCTTATTCATTAGCTCAAAGATAAAACCAGTACTCCACCAAATTATTCACAGTGACCAAAATGGCTATATGAAGAATAGATATATAGGGTTTAATATCAGACAGATTCAAGATATAATTGACTATTCTGATAAATTCAATGTAGATGGAGCAATCTTATTTTATGACTTTTCAGAAGCGTTTGATTCTTTAGAATGGGAGTTTATGTACTGTGCATTAAGACAATTTGGTCTACAAAAATTCTTTTATAAATTGGATACATACTTTATATACAAATATTAAAGGATGTGCAACAAAAATGGTTGGATCTCTGCGCCCTTTGACATTCATAGGGGGATTAGACAAGGTTATACGGTCAACGCGATTATTTCCGTGATGGCAGTAGAAATCTTAGCATGTAGATTAAGACAAGGCAACAATATAAAAGGCATACAAATCAAATTAGATAAAAAAAAAAACACATAGTTTAAAATTAAGTCAACTAGCAGATGACACAACAATTTTTCATAAATATATACAAGAAGTTAAAGTAGCCCTTAATATAATAGAAATATTTGGTTCTTTATCTGGTCTTTAACTGAATAGAGATAAAACAGAAGGTATTTGGCTAGGAAATCTGAAAAGTAGTGGAGATAAATATGAAAATATAAACGGTCAACAAAGCCAATAAAATGCTTAGGAGTATACTTTGGACATAACAAGATTGAATGTGAAAAACTAAACTTAGAAAAACAGTTAACTAAATTAGAGAAAATTATCAAAGATTGGACTAAAAGACAGCTAACTATCTTAGGCAGAATAATGGTTGTAAAGTCTTTATTAGTCCCAAAACTAACCTTTTTAGCACCAGTAATCAATATCAATAAAGACTACATACATGACATATTAAAATTTTAAAAAAAATAATATTTAACTTTATCTGGGACAATAAAAGAGAAAAAGTTAAAAGATCTGTCGTTTGTACAAATTATGCTAACGGAGGATTGAACCTGATTGATATATATAAATATATTGAATCATTAAAAATAAATTGGATTACAAGACTTGTTAACAATAATGATATGTTACAAAACTGGAAAGTTATTCCTCAGTTCTACTTTGATAAACTAGGAAAAAAATTACTTAATTTTCTATATGAACATAGATAAAAAACAAGATTATTCTCAGATATAGAGAATTTGAAAAATAATTAACTCCCTTTTACTTAGAAATGATTAAAACTTGTGTGAAATGGAAAAAACAGTAGAACAGAAAAAAATCTAAATAATTCTATTGAAATAAGAAAACAAATAATATTGGGAAACAAATACATAGAATTAAATGGTAAATGTCTAGTCTATAATCAATGGGTTAAAAATAATATAATATATATGAATGACATCCTGCATGATAATGGAGATATTTCTCAAAATTTGATATAAAAAAACTATCATCTCATTGTAATTGGTTCTCAGAATATACAAAATTAAAAAAAAGGCAGTACCATAACAATGGTTAGATTTACTTAAGGATGAAAAACTGAAGCGAACAAAAGTTTACTTTTACCAAAAATTGGAAATAGTATGTAAAAATCATAAAAAGTATGAGTTACATAAAGTAAGAACAAAAGATATATATAATATACTCATACAATCTAACATAGAAACACCAATAGGTTTTGTAAAGTTGAAAAATAGTTTGCAAGTTGAAGATATTAATTTGAAAATAAAACACAATACACTGTTTATATTTAAATACTTAAAAAATAATAAATTAAAAATATTAAGGTGGAAATCGTTACATTGGATAATGCCCTGTAAACAAATATTAGAAACTTGGAAAATAGTAGGTACTCCTTTGTGTAATATATGGATTGTTAAAGAGAATTATGAACATTATTTTATCTCCTGCAAATATTTTTTAAAAAATTGGGAAAGTATTAAATTAATTCTTATTAAACTCAAAATTGGATATCACATTATAAGCTTAGAAAACCTAATACTTGGATATAAAATAACTGGTGAAAAGTATTATGAAATTATTTTTTTTAAAACAATAGTATTATTTAGTATAAACAAAGCATACTATTTATCAAACAGAGAAACAAATAGAAGTAAATGTAATCGTTCCATGCACATAATTTTTTATAACAATAGTATTATTTAGTATAAACAAAGCATACTATTTATCTATTTTTAAGTATGAATTTCTGTCAAGAGTAAACCACTACAAAGCAATGAAACAAGAAGTAAGCTTTATGCTACAGCAAATTGCAAGTATTATAGTGAAGGAAAAATAGACAAAATATGGAAATTTTATATTTCCATTAAAATAAAGAGAAAGAATGCCTAATTTGAATAAAAGGAAATATTATAGATTTTATAAAAAAGTGAAATTATAATGCTTAATATATAAAGAAAATTCATACTACAAGAATTGAATAAAATTTATGTTACCCTATAAAAAGGATTTATGATGAAAAATATAATTTTAAATATTAACTGAAGTTGGAAACTTGTAAATAGAATTAAAAGTTAATTATATAATTTCACAGATATTTTGTACATAGTATTACGTAAAGTTTTATATCAAAGAGCATATTAATTAAGTCTCTTTTGTAAGTACTAGATGTCAGTACTTTTAGCTAATAAAGACTTTTATAAAGTAAATAGATAAATCCTAGTAAAAAAATGTCAATTGTATTTGGGAAGTATTTTAATTTAAAGGAACAAAGGGAATTATTTATCTTCTTTGTTCATATGTAAAAGTTAGATAATCCGTTTACTAGGGACGCTAAGAATTAAGACAGAATGATTGACAAAAGCTTAAATGGTCAGCAGGTAATTGATGACCAATGAAATTAATTATGGGAAGTCGTTTTAATTACTATTTGGCATTTGATTGGAGAAAATAGAAGAAGTTCTTAAATCCAAAGGTCATGTGACTAAAATTTCGAATATCCAAAATTATGTTTTAGCGTCACTTGATCTTTGGAACCTGAAAATAAAACATCTTTACTTACAGAACTTCTGTCTATTTTAGGTGAGTTTAATGTAACATTTAATTTAATATATGATTTTGAATTAAACAAGTTAATACTAAATTTATAATTAATTAGAGTCAAGATTTATTAATATCTGTTGTACTTTAAGGAAAAATTGTATATAATATTTTAAATGCAAAATGGACATATTCTCTTGAATAAGTCTTGTAATGTTAAAGTTAGCTGTGAATAAGTTTTATGTTAAATGTGAGTTATTATAAGTTTTTAAGATATTAATTTTAAAAGTAATTAAAAGGTTAAACGTTTAAAAAGAGAACACTACTAAATTACGGAACTTATCATATTTACTCCGGAATAAGTTTTATAATTACTTAGTTCATGGGAGATAATTTTGAGTGTAAATTTATATCGCTAAAGATTCTGAAAACGCACAATCATCAAAACCCTAATTTTACTGATTACTTGAATAAGTTTAACTTACAGAAATTGCAGAAATGTTTGAAGCCTGGAGACTGAGGTATCCATTATATAATGTAGCTATATTGTGATTTAATATGTTAATATTTTGAATGCTTAGAATTTAGATTGATTCAGATAGTAAAAATACATATCATTTCTTTTATGTTATTAGCAAGTCTTGCATACAACATTTTAATTATTAGAAATATAAAGTCCCTTTTTCAATTTAGAGTTTTAAGTACATGTACCTGTTTTGATTAGTAAGTTAACTTGAATTCATGAAAAGGCAATTATTAAGAGACAACATTGATTTAGTATGGTGAATTATCTGGAATATTCAAAGAAATATATTTAGTTATGCAATTAAAGAAAATATGCGAGTAAGGCTCTTGAGTTAGGTTCCCCCCTTTTTAATGAAATATAACTATTGACAGTTACAGAGT